AGGCATGCACCACCACACCTGGATGTAACCTTCATCTTACTCACTGACCCACTGCCTAGTCCCATAAAGAACTTTCTAAAACCTCAAGCAGATCTTGTTTTCCCTGCTCAAAAATCCTTGGTGCACTCTTGCACTAGGGTTGAAATTCAAGGCAATCAGTGCAACCCTTGCTCTCGCCTTTCTGGGCATCAGCTGTTCTGTTCTTGGAATCATGACAGCGTTCTCTGTCTCTGGGCCTTTGCACGGTCTCTTCTACCTCTGGGCAGTGTTCCCTTTCTAGATCACCTCATGTTTTCCCTTCCTACATCCCATCCTGTGTTCTCTAGTAAAATCCAAACTCTTTCCCCCAACCTAAAGAAAGGGTGGAGCATGGATGCAATGCTCACCATTAAGTTCATATGAGGAGAAAGGGAGGGCATACAATAGTTGAGTGACACAACCCCAAGAGCACTTTCCAAGGCCCCTTCCCTGTCCCTTCCTGGTGGACCTGGATCCACCTTCCAGGGCGATGCTCCCCCATTCAGTTTTCCTCAGGTTCAAATCTGCTGTGAGCACACAGGTTTTGGAGTTCCTCTGTAGACAGTTTGGGACTTGAGGCTTGCTTCGCAGCCACTGGCTCCCTGGAGTCCTTAGTAAAAAAGTCCCCTCAGGAATTTGGTAAGTTTTCTTTGCAGCAAGTTCTGCTTGTGACCACACCTTTCCTAATATGGACTGTAGGGGCTTTATTGCTTTACTTCCTGTCTCTCTCCCATAGTTCTGTCTCTTGTCTCAATGTGCTATACTGAGAGAGTGGCTGTGGTGTGCATTTGATCCCCACTGGGGTTGGGGTGGGTGGGAGGCATCTGTCCACAGCTCCTGGGAACTGTTCCACTGCCTTTGCAGCGGGGAATCCTTTGCAGTCTTGAGTGTTTGTTGAAGTTTGCTAAGGTTGGACGGAATATGGAGTCTCTCCCAAAGGCTCTGGTTTAAAGATATGGTCCCCAGTCCACAGTGCTCTTGGGAGGTGGTAGGACCTTTAAGTGGTCGACCTTAGTGGAAGTTAGGTTACTGATGCTGTGACACTGAAAGCAATACTGGGATTCCAACCCTTCCATGTTGTTATTTCCTGGCCTTGAAATAAGTGTTAGCATGCTCTCTGCCACTGCCATCCAGGATCCCAGCAGAGGCCTAAAAGCAATGAGACGGTTTTGGATTTCTAAAACCATGGGCTAAAAACAGGCCATCACTTACAAGTTAATTATCTCAGTAGAAATTGAACACGGAGGCTGTTAGTAGTTCACTTTTTAAACTTTGGTAGGCCAAGTATCCCCTATCCTTTCTTGTTTACACTGTAACTTGCATGAGCCACACTCCCACTCACCCTTCCACCTGTCATTTACCCACCTGTCCATCTATCCATCCTTTTGTCCATTTATCTATCTGCCCATTCCCTCATACACCCATTCACCCTTCTGCTCACCAACCCAACTGTTCTCCATCTGTCCATCTACCTTCCCATCTATCCATCCATCCATTCATCCATCTGTCCAGCCATCTATCCATCGCTCCATCCAACAGATACTTTGCGCATTCTGTATTTGCTGGGCATTGAGCTAGATGCTGTGATGTCTCAGAAAGAGAAAGAGAAGCAAGCTCTGAGTTGTGTAGTGTTGGCCTGCAACCAAAGCACCTTGGAGGCTGAGGCAGGAGGGTCAGGAATTAAAAGGCCCCAACAACAATGCAATTTTGAAGTCAAAAAAAATTTTTTTGTAAGATTCTGTCACAAAGCTGGGTGGTGATGGCACATAACATTAATCCCAGCACTCAGGAGGTAGAAGCAGGTTGATCTCTGTGAGTTCGAGGTCAGCCTGGTCTAAAGAGTAAGTTCCAGAACAGTCAAGGCTGTTACACAGAGAAACCCTGTCTTGAACCCCCCCAAGAAAAGATTCTGTCACAAAATAATATGAAACAAAACAAAAGGAAAACAAAGCACAGAAGAATACAGGCTCTCATTGCTAGGGGTGGGGCTTGCATCCTAGCAAAAAGAGACAATGGATTGGATGACAAAGAATACAAAAGAAATATATTGTATAAGAAATTAAGGCTTGGGAAAAACAGCAGGGTCAGGAGAGGAGGCTGTAGCAATTTAAATGAGGGTGGAAGGATGGAAAGAAAGTCTCATTGAGAAGGAAGCAGTTGGGTACAGGCCTGAAAGTGTGGAGAGAACTAAGACCATACATGGCTCTCTCTACACCTCGGGCAGAGGAAACAATATGAACAGAGATGCCCCCCCCCCAAGTCAGAATAGGTTGTTTCTGGGAAACTGAGATGAAACAGTAATGGCAGAGGTCAGAGACCGTGGAAGGCCTCTAGGATACATAGGCACGTTACATATGTGCCGGCACAAACCATCTTTTAAGCTGCACACTGCCCCCCACCCACCCCAGGCGCCTTTTAGACAGGTTCACAGTCCTCCTACCCCCACCCTGCACTTTTTAGACAGGTTCTCATTATGGCTGTCATTGTCAAACTCAAGAGATACACCTGTCTCTGCCTCCTGAGTGCTGGGACCAGGCTCATGTCCTTTCTTTAAGAAAACCATCTCAGACAGGAGCTGTGCAGTCTCTCTACAGTTTCAGTGTGTGTACCTTCTCAGGACTTCCCCCAGGTGCTTAGCAGATCCCAGGGAGTCTCATCTGTCCTGGTTACCTGGTACTCACTGGTGCTGCCTGGTGGGCAACCTTGAACCTCAGAGGCACAGCTCCCTGTAAGCAGTGAAGGATCCCCATGGCCTGCAGGAGGCTGATATGTGGTTATGGGTTGAATTTGAAATGTCTCGGGGTCTTGCTTTGAACACTTGGAACCCTGTTGGTAGCACCATTTTCGCAGGTTATGGGCGTGACTTGGCTGGGGGAAGTCGGGCACTGGGAGTGGGGTCTCTGAAGTCAAGGGAGCACATGAAGGCAGTAAACATGCAGTTGGTGGGGGATTGGGCAGGTGAGGTTTGCTAAATTCCTGAATTAAGAGAAGGGCATGGGATCCCCGAGTGTTCAGGTGGTGAAGAGGCTCTGTGACATCCCCACTGCTATGAGCTTCTCCATGACATCACACTGCCATGAGTGTTGTCATGGCTTCCTCACCATGGTGGGCTGACTCCTATGAAACTGAGTCAAAGGAAACCTTTCTTCTGTTGCTTCTGAAAGACATTTTGGTAATACTGACAAAAGAAGCTGATAAACATGTGATGGCCTGCTGTCCTGAGTTTATCCTACTTTCCATATGTGGCAGATAAAAACACTGAAACTCCACTGTCAAAGAGGAGCTCAAGTTGGAGGCCAACAGGGTGAGATCCCATTTCCTGGGTGCAGGAGGCTCCTTCCTCCTCTCCTCAGACCCACAGCATGCCTGGCTGGGATTCCCTCACCACATTTCCCTCCCTCTCTCCAGGAACAAATCTTCCAGGCTCTTGGTCAGGCCTTGTGGATCCCATCCCTTTAATCCATACATTTATTGAGTCTCATCAGTCGGATCTCCATCTAACTCCATGCTTCCTGGTACAGGTGGGCTCTCTGACCCCTGAGATAAAGTGCTCCAAACAAAAAAGCTGTGACTTTGGTAGTGCTGGGTTTGCACTGACAGGTACTGCTGATCCTCCTCTTGGGACCTGTCTTTGAGGCCCATTATTCTCCGGTTTTCTGTTAAGGGGGGGGGGGAGAATGCTGGGGATGGGATCAGGAGCCTTATTTACGAATGCTGAGTAAATGTTCCACTCATTAGGCTTTGCAGTATCAGTAGACTGGCATTACTGCCCATCTTGTTCCCCTGCTTAACCTGATTGTTTGGGCTGCCAGTTCTCTGCACACCAGAAGGGGCTGCTGGCCTGTAACCCACTCTTGCCAGAGCCTTAGCCAGTAAATTTTCAATCAGTTCCTGTTGGTGGGGCAAGGAGGCAAAAGGAGTCTCCTTTCTCTGAGGGTGTTTTTCTTGTGGGGACAAGAGTGGCATATTTTCTGGAATTTTTTAGCAGGGAGAACCCTTGGCAACTGTGTGATTACTGTGCTGCAGGACTCTATTCCTCCAGTCTCAGTGTACCAACCCGAGTAGTTCTGAGATTTTTTTCTTTTCATTTATTTATTTTTGTTTTTTGAGACAGTTTCTCTGTGTAGCCTTGGAGTCTGTCCTGGAACTTGCTCTGTAGACCAGGCTGGCCTCAAACTCAGAGGCCCACCTGCATCTGCGAGTACCACCAAGCCTGGACTCCATTTATTTATTTATTTTGGTTTTTTTGAGACTAGGTTTCTCTGTATTGCTTTAGAACATGTCCTGGAAATAGCTCTGTAGAGCAGGCTGGCCTGGAACTCAAGAGATCTGCCTATCTCTGCTGGGATTAAAGGTGTGTGCCAGCACCACCTAGCTGAGAATTTAAAAAATTTTTAAGTTCTCTGCCCTAAATCCTACACCAATTCATTTTCCTGTGCTGGCTGACACATTGCTGGTAGTGGGATTGACTTCCTAGAAACAGTTGCCTGAAGCTGTGAACATGGATTGCTGATCTGTCGCCACCAAATTGTAACTCTGGAACCATTCCATTGCTGGGAGAATGGACCCCTGAAAACTCACTCACATGTGGTCCAACATGTACCAGAAAGACTATGCACTGATACTCAATCCCCAATAGTGGTGAAAGGTGGACCTTTAAGAGGTTTCTGGGTCACGAGGGCTCAGCCCTTAGGCATGGGTGGTTACTGCACTGTTACTGTAAAGGGTATCTGGACACAATCTTGCTTTTCTGCTGCCTGCCACAAGTAAGCCAGGTGTGACCCTTGACCTTGGATGCTCTAGCTCAGTGAATCCTTGAACCACACAGGATCACCTGCTTTGAAAGCAAAGCCTCAAAGACCCAATGGCCTTAGAGCCTTTCGGGTGGCCTGGGGTATAGTGACTGAGGGCAGTATTAAAGAGTGATGGGAAGACCACCATTGTTTGTCCTAAGGCATTGAAAGAGAACCAGAGAGCAACTCTGACAACCAGAAAAGCATCTTTAATATCTTGAAGCCATAGGACACAGATGAAACCCCCAAGTGTGATCTTGGAGGTTGCAGTTACAAGTTCAACCCATAGCCAGGAAAGATTTTGTGTATGAAATGTAGGGCATTGAGTGGAACTAGGACCCTGAGTAAAAGGACTTGCGGGAGGTTTCGAACCACCCCAAGTCCTGATCTGAGGAACGATAGGTGAGTGGCCTGGTGCTCCAGGGGAGTGTTCCCGTTCTCAAGCCAGACTTCATGATGTTGGCCATGTACCTTATAATTCAAGACAGAGCCCTATCTCGGTCCTTCAAAGAAATAAGGGAATTGCTAAAAATTTTATCTATGTATTACTGATGTCATTTGTCTCCCAAAGAAGACATCTGACCACAATATACAAGCTGGGAACCATCTAGAGGGCAGGGGCTAGACTAGTTTTGGATCCTGGGCTGTCTAGCTATGTGGGTTGCAGGCTGGTGACTCCCTCAATCTGACCCTGTCCCTTCATCTGTAGAACAGGCCCAATAATTGATGTCGCCTGGGATTTCCATGAGAATTAAAATGGGGGTAAAACCACAAGGGCTGCAACTGCTGTGCCTCTTACTTGAGCCCTGGTGGGTTAGGTCCCATCTAAGAGGGGCTGACACAAGCAGATTCCCTGTGTTCTTGTTTTGGGAAACTTGCACTGCTCCTGTGTTTACCAATGTTGGGCCAGGAAGCCCCAAATGACCAACTTCAGGGAAATGAGCAGCTCATGTGTCAGAGACTAGTGTGGTACCATGACTTCTAGGAATCCCTGTAAAGCTGTTGCCCAGGCAACAGAGAAGTAGGTATTCAGATAGCAAAGTTATCCAGACCTGATGCTAATTACCACTATTGTGCTAGGAGACCTCAGTCAGGCCATGGCAGCCTTCAGAGCTTAGACTCCCCTGAAGTAGGGCTGTCCCACTATGCAGGTAGTGCCGAGGAAGGACCAAGAAATAGGCTGGACACCAGGGAGGACCACCTCCTACATAACCTACCTCCCTTAATTCCTTCACTCTGGGGCTCCCTGACCTCACTGTGCCTCAGTCTTTTACCAGCTACCAAAAGGATCATGCAATGTGTTCAAAAGTCAGAAAAATGATGGGGATACAGGTCCCAAGACCAGCCTTGGCCCAGACACCACCGGTGGCAGGTTCAGAGTAGGAAAGGCACATGAGTTACTGCCTGTGTAGACTGGGCAAGGAAGGGAAACCCCAGAGTGAGATCTGACCACAGCACAGACCTACTGAAGGACCATGAAGCCTAGAGTGACCAGTGCCTAGCCATGGGCTCCTTAAGTGAGCCAGGACGTGGGGGTGGGGTGGGGAGTCAGATGGGGTAGCACCAGAGTGGCCCAGTTGGGCAGTATTGGCTAAGAGGAAGAGGCAGAGATATGGTTATTGCTACATCGTAGGGCTGGGAAGCCTCCGGGGCCTGGGCAGTGGGACTTTAAGGCTTCCAAGGCAGTGAGAATGCTCAGGCCACGCTGCAGAGACTTGAAACAAGCCCACCAAGGAAGCCCAGCCACTCTACTTGGGTCCACATGATTCCGGACCCTCATTCAAGTACTGTGTTGTAGACGCACTGCCACCACCGCTGGCAGAATACTGTCAGCAATGTCTCCCTAGAAGCCCAGGGTTTCCCTGGACCCTGAAAAGAGTCCCTGGCTGACAGAGAAGGGCTGGGGAGGTATGCTGGGTTATCCTGGAATTCTAGGAGTCTGGAAATGGAACATCAAGAACAGGGTAAGAGCCAGGAGCGCAGGAGGTAGGGAGATGCTGAGGGTGGGAACCATATGGATCCATGCCCATGACTGCACTGGTGAGTGAGGCTCAGGGATTCTGAGCTTAAGGATTCCCGGCCAGGATGCATGGCCTCCTTTCAGTACTCCTGCTGAGTGGGAACATGTCTGGAGTGCCCTAAGCAGCAGTGGGGAGATGACTAGAAGCCAGGCGCACAAGAGAGGATACAAAATGGATTTTGTGTGCCACCTCCCCACCCATCTCCAAGGTGATCCCCAAGAAAGGCCTGCCAGTGCAATTGGAAGGCCAGAGAGGCCCAGGGATACTGCACTGCTCAGTAGACCAACACTATCCTCTGAACAGACTCCAGCAGGTGGACCCATGGGAAGGCAGACCTGCAGACCAGGACCTTGTTTCCTTGTAGGACTCAACACGAGAAGCCAAAAAGTGTGGGTAGCCAAGAAGAGGAAGACATTCACTGTCATCTGCCCTGTGTCTGTGCTCATGTGTTGGTGTGCATGCCCACAGATGGGCCTGGGCTAGAGCTGTGTCCACTGCTCTCACATACCAGGAACAGTTGTCCTCTGTAGCCACTCCACTGCCTGTGCTAGGGCACAGAAGTCTGAGAAAGACAAAGGGTTAGCATGGCAGTGGCTAAGGCTTGGCACCCCCACCTTGGGAAGCTGGCACATAGGGTTCCTGTTGTTCTTCTTGGCTCCAGGAACACCCTCCTCATTTGCAGGAAGGACACAGCTCCAGGAGGTGGTGGCAGGGACTCCTTTTGCTGATCTGAGCACGGACCCAGCGCCTGGGCTCGATGGGATGTGCAGCTGGTGGAAGGGAGACCTCAGCAAAGCCAGAGGGTCTCTGTGGGAGCGGAGTCTTGGTCACTTGGTCTGCCCTTCATCCCACTCTGGATATCCACACATCCTCAGCTGGCAGCTGGTCCCCAGAATCCTGGATGAGGGCTGCAGACGAGTGTCCTTGCAAAAATAACTCTGAGCCTGTCCACATGGGAACAGGTTCCTGAGAGCACATGAGCTGGCCGAGGCCCACGTGGAAAGCCCACAGGGTGCACCCCTGCACACAGTGGCTTGGGTCATGGCTGAAGGCGCTCCAGGTACTGTGGCAGGGGGTTCTCCTTGACGTACTTTTGGATGTACCAGCAGGTGAGGTGGGCCTTTAGGTCTTCCTCCACCACGAAGTCCAGGGCAGCCTGGGTTAGCAGAGGGAGAACAGCTGTTAGAACTGCAGCTTACTTGGGCACTGTGGCCCACTGCAGTCCCCTAGGTAGTCATCAGCTCTGTTACTTCCCCAGGGTCCCCATGTGGCTACCCCCCACTTCGCCTAGGTCAGCGTCTCAAATTCCTTTCCTGGTAACTGGGTTAACTCACATACCAGCTTGTGGCCAGGTCTTGTATGTAAGGGCACGGAGGCCCAGGAAGACCCACAGGGAGGGGAAAGAGGACTCTAACGTAGGAGAGCCAGAAGCTGGGAAACCTTAGAAGCACAGGGTGGGGGTTGCACCCAAAAGTCAGTTTCTTTCACCTGTGCTTTGTCCTCAGGCAGCCTGGGATTTTGAAGTGCTTGGGAAAGGCAGGTGGAGGACCTGGGCATGAGCCCACTGACTTGGACACTCATTCACTTCACATCATCAGGGTCTACTAAATAAGTACTGGGTGCCAAGTCCTAGTCCCAAGGCAGAGTCAGATCGTGGGGACCCCATACTCGGAATAGTGGCCATCTGCCACAGAAGGCCCAGGAGCTGATAAGTGGTGTGCAAAGCTCTCCCACTGCCAACTGCCAACTCTTGGCCAGGTGGGCCTGTGAAGCTGTGGTCTAGAGTTAGCCACCAGTCCATCTTCCCTGCAACGGGAAGGTGACAGTTGTGTCCTGGTCTGCTGCTCACCGTACCTTGGCCAGGTGCTTGGCAATACCACGGCCACGGTAAGCATCTGGAACCTCCGTGTGCTGCAGGTCTACGATCCGCTTGCCCACATACTCATAGAGCAGGACAGCCCGGTCATGACATCCTGGAACAGGGGATAGAAATAGGTGAGGTGCGGACTCCAGGGGTTCTCAGATCTTGGTTGTTTCTGGCAATTCCAGGTGTAATGGAGCAATTCTAGTCTCTGGAGTCAGACTACTGGGTGCTACAAGAGCTAAATTTTAAATAATTCCTATGCCTCCGTTTCCATATCCCCAGAATAGGGGCATGATGGCATTCCTCAGAGGGTTGTGTGTAGGGTTCAATGGGGCATTCTCTGCTACAGGCTCAATGTGGTACCAATAACACTCAACCACTCACAAGCCCTTGTTACTGTCATTCCAGGGACACCAACCCTGTGTTCTCAGCTGCCCCCACCCCCAAGGTCCAGCACAGGACACAACAGAGTCCAACAAACCCATGACTTCAGTGGAGGAGGATACAGGAGGCACTATCAGTCAGAACACAGAACACAAGTCCTGCCCATCCCCCAGCCAAAACTCAAGTAGAATCAGAGTCCACAATGAACCAACATGAGGCACAGGAAGCAGGAACAAATGGTTACCCACCCTCCCAGCCCTGCCAGGACAAGAGTTCACCAGTCTACCAAAAACCCTGCTGGCAAATGTTCCCAGGGAAGTTGCTCCAATCACAATTTGTAGCTCTGACTGCCTATCCACTCATCCACCCATCCAGCCAATGATATTGAGTCACAAACACTTTTCAGGTGCTGGACATAAGGAAAGGATAAAGGGGAGGAAAGATAAAGTAGAGAAGTATGTATGTGTAACATATCAGTAGACAGGGAATGGGCGTGAGATACGATGGCTCGGGGAGAGGCATCAGCAGGAACAGCTGTGCAAAGGCTCTGAGGCAGGACGGAGCCTTTATGAGGGACAGTGAGAATGCTGGTGTGACTAGCTAGAGTGCACCAAGGGAGTGGGAAGTGACGGGCAGGTCCCACAGTCTTCTTGGCCATCCTGACCTAGGTCTGCAGCAGACGGATGGAAGGTAACTCCAGGTTCCACAGAATTCCCTGGCTGCTGTGTGACAATAATCTAGGGAAGAAGGGTCCAATGCAGCAGCTGTCTCAGTCCTGGTGGGCACAGGAAGCCAGACTGTTTCGGCGGTGTCCACTTTGGAGGACCTGCTGGCAGCTGGTGTGTGCTCAATGAGAAAAGAAGCCAAAGGCAAACCCAACGTTTTTTAATTTGAAGGATGGGCTGAGTATGAAAGAAATGCTTTAGCTGGCACTGGGGAGAGGTAGAGACATTATGGCTCTCAGGACAAAGCCTGTCAGCTGGGAAGGGTGCAGTTAAGGGAAGAGCAAAGGAAGAACAAGTGGGCAGGACAGACCCTGAGGCTGGAGCGTGGGGTGAAGGGAGCCTTGGCTGATCCAGAAACTACTAGCACTGGCCTTGAATGTGCTACTTTCTAAAAGTAAATTGTCCTTCATGTATTCCAAACTAGCTGCATTTTGCATATTCACACTTTCATGTGCCTGTGTCCCCTACCTGTACCAGGTGTCACTAGGGAAATGACAGGCACAGTGGAGAATCACATCCCACACACACTCCAGGTACCTTCGAGGGCTCTGTCCTCGGGTGTCCTCACAAGTCTCCCCCAAGTCTCAGGAGGGGATTATGATTCACCTCATTTCCAGAGCTAAACTCCTGAGACCCAAGTTACACGATCACACAGGGGATGAAGGCAGAGTGTAATCCAGGAACCTGCTCCCCAAGCTATGCTCTCTCCCTCTTTTCTTCTGAGACAGGGCCTCACCGTACCAAGCTGGCCTAGAACCCACAGTATTGAAATTATGAACATGCATCACCCCAGCCAGCCTCAAGTACTTTGTATCATAGAACTATGCCTTCTTTCCACCTCCAGACCTAGGATGCCCTCTCCCTTCTCAGCAGGTCCCCAATGGCCATAGCCTTCCCCTGCACTGAAACCCTCCCTCCTTATGTTTGATTTGTTCTGGGGCTGTGCTCATTCCCTGGCCAAGGCACAGCTGTAACCAACACAGCTACTCCCTGCAGCTGCAAGACCTGGCATCTAGATCTGGGTCTGTACCTGTTGGGGTCAATGAAGCTCATTAGAGATGGGAGTGCAGAGGGAAGCTGTTGTGGGACTAAACTGGTTCCTGAGAAACCGGCCTATCTGTCCTGACCTCCCAGTTGCCCCTAAGTCACTGACTGCCCATTATGTTCCAGCTGTGTTTGGAGTGCTAGGTGGGAGGCAGTGAACAAAACCGACACTCCTTCACATTTTAGTAGGGGAGACACAAATGATAGGATTCTCAGGAGATGGGCACAGAGAGCAGAGAACAGGGAGGGGGTAGGTGTGGAGGCTATTGTTTGTTATAAAGAGGATAAATGGCTCTTGTGCAAAAGGCCTGAAGGACACAGAGCCCTTTGGTGTGACAAGTCCTCATGATGCTCAGAATGACAAGGAAGCTGGAGTGGCTGGCCTGAGTGCATCGGGGCAGACAGTGTAGGGAGCCAGGTGATGGGATCCTATGGCTCCCAGAAGTCTTGGGGGACAGGGACAGAGCTCTTGCAAACTTGCCAGTGTCTTCAGTTTCTTCCTGCTCTCATGGAGCCTACTTAGCTTATGGCCAACCCAGGGATTTCGCAGTGATTCTCTGCCTAGGCCTTTGGTGTCTGGTGGTCAAGACACACCACCTTGTCCCTATAACCCACAGGAAATATGACAAAAACTAGCTTCTTCCTACCAGACACACTGAGACTAGAGTGGCATATGGCAGCCCCAAGGCCTAGCCCTGTGCCATTGCAGGATCCCCAGAGAACAGCCAAGTCCTCAGCAGGTGTCTGCTTAGACCTGCAGAAGTACACAGGCTTGCTTTCAGATATGCCAGCAGGCTCCAGCCACACCCTAACTGCAGCCCCTCCCTACAGTAGCCAGTAAGTGTTTGGTTAGCTGCTTGCTGATCTTCCCACTTGCCACATCTATATACCCAGGGCCTCCCAGGTGGGCACCGCCTTCTCATTCCAGGTGTTCCCTCATTAGAGGCTTCTCCTGACTGCCTACCATCATGGGACAGAATGCTCATGTGGCACTGTCAGCTCTAACAACCCCCAACACGCATGCAATGGATGAGTGGTCCTACCACCTGGATTAGTGGTGACACAGTCTCAGTCTAGGCTAGGTTCTGAGTGACCCAGACCTCAGACAGGCATGCTAGGGACAGTGCTGGTCATCCAGGAAATGGAGGAACCAGCTAGGCTAAGTTCTAGTCTGTCTTCCTACTTGCAAAGTAAGGGGTAGAGAGATTCTGGGAGGGATCTGAGGGAGCCTTTTTGCAACAAGTAGCTGTACCAGAGGCTGGAGAGCTGGCTCAGCAGTTAAGAGGGCCTTTACAGAGGACCCTCGATTCCTAGCACCCATGACTGGCAGCTCACACCTGCCTGTAACTCCAGCAGTGGCATCTGACACCCTCTCTTGATTTCTACAGGCACTGGAATACACATCACATGTACACACACAATAAAAAAAAATATTTAAAACCTGATTGGCTGACCCTGGCTTAGGTAAGAAAGAGAAGGTAAGGAAGGGGTTGGAGGCAGGGGCTTTATCTGACTTCTTCCAATCTTTAGATAACCCTCACTAAGCAACCTCAGGTTCTGGACTAGCTGTCCACCAGCCTTGTGCCTTGGTCTCCCACCTATGAAAACAGTGGCCCCTCACCCAGCATTTCAGAACTTCAATTTGGGGGTCATATGTACTTGAGTTCTAGTCTCCTCTCCCACTCCTTATCAGCAAGCTCTTCCATGTTTCCGGTCATATCAGCTCAGGACTTAATTTCTTCCCACCCCTGCTCACACTGCTTGGACCAGTGTAGTTGCCAGCTCCCTGCTCTATCATACCCCACAGTATGTTCCCCACCAGCCCAGCCTTACAGTTCCTGGTCCATGTCATCTGTCCTCTTTCCAGGACATTTTCAGGAATCCACAATGCTCAGGATCAAAGTCAAATTCATACAAGGTATCATTTCCAGGTCCTATACTATCTGTCCCGTGTGAGCTTAGTCTCATCCGATCGCCCATGCTCCTCTATCCATGCACTGCTCCTGGCTGCTCTGAATACACAACGGGTACTGTCGTGCCTTTGCTCTCAACCGTTTCTTTCTCATGGTACCCTATTCAGTGCCTTCTTGCCTCATTCAGGTCTTTACTTAAAAGCCACTTTCTTGGAACCTGATGCTAAAGGGCAGCCCTGCCCCAATGTAGCCTTCCTTCTGCCCAGGGTCACTTCTCCCAAGGGCCTTTGTTCTATAAAGATTATGTAATTTAATTTGAGACCCATCTCCCCCTCAGGCTGTCAGTCTCCAAGCACTGGGCATCTTGAAGAACACTGATAAACAGTAGGTACGCAGTAAATACTAGTGGAATGAATCCTAGCTGTCCAGGGGGAGCTGCCCACCTCTAGCCATCCTGTCTCCCTAGAGCACCATTTGTGGTTAGTGAGTGACAGGGCAGCAGGTTCCAGAGGGGGTAAGTTTAAAGCTATACCTGCTCACAGGCAGCACGGTGTGCTGTCCTTTTGACTGGACCCATCTGGAAGAGAAAGGGAAAAAAAGAAGCCCAATGGTTCCCCGACTTTCTCTTTGTGGATCTAATGGGCCTCCAGAGTCACCCAGAGAATCATAGCCTCCCTGGAACTACTTCAGATCAGAGGTTCTGAAAAACCTCAGATAACGCCTCTCAAGTGACTAGGGCCAAGTGTCACTGTCAGCTGAGCCACCACCAGCATCACGACAGGACTTGTTTCTCTAAGGAAAGAGCATGGCATAGGGGCAGCTGGGCCCAGATTTGAATATGACTCTGGTCTTGTTAAGGCTGGGCAAGTCACTTCCTGAACCCAGCCTCAGTTTACTCATGTGTAATGTGGGGCAGCAGAATGTCACAACACAGGAAGTGACAGCTGCCTCCACTGTAGTTAGGTGGCACAAATGGGAGACCAGGCCTCTTCTGCTTGTGACCAAGTGCTTGTCACAGAAGGTTGTCTCAGGAAGTCGGGAGAGGCTGCTCAGTACCTTCGCTGCTGTACAACTTACTGGCCGACCTCACACAAGTGCGTCCCTTCAAAACTGGTGCAGTGGTCTCTAAGTCAGGTCACGGACATGCCCTGGGGGCCCAGCTGGGAGAGGTGGGCTACAAAGAACTCAAGGTCCCATATTTCACAATCATTTCCAGCCCCTAGGATCAACGGGAGTGGTGTCGGTCGGCCAGAAGATGAGGCCTTGACCTAGCTCTCTGGTATGAAAAGTAGCCATTTACCTATGTTTATCAGCACTTGCTGTGCACCGCATGTGTCATTCTGAACCTTCACTGCCACTGTATCTCATCCTCACGGCCAGCTAAAGCGGTGTTCACTATAGCTATCCCCACCGCAGATTCCGGGAGACCGAGGCACACATCGACTGCAGAAGTTGGCTAAAATCTCAGAGCAACCTGCCCGCCTCCACCTCCAAGCCACAAGTTCCCTGGGTTATGCCCCAGGCCCGCGCAGGCTCCTTTAGGACTGCAGGAAGCAACTAAACACCCGGGGGGGGGTGGCAGGCCATCAGCGACCTGCTCTCCGGGATCCAGGGTGGCAGCCTTCGGTCCGCGATGCCGGGAAACGGCAGCGCTAGCAGGTGCGGGCTGCTCCGGCGATGCCTGTCGGGGGTTCGGGAGCCCTCCCGCCCCGGTATCCGTCCGCCCGCAGGTCCCGCCCCGTCCCGCCCGCGCGCGCGCGCAAACAAAGGCAGCGCGGTACCGTTGAGGCGCACGGAGAACTGGCGGCGTTGGCGGTCGTGTTCCACTCGGATGGGGCCGCTCTGCTCCAGCGCACTCGGCGGGGCCGCGTGTGCCATCGCGCGCGCCGAGGCTGGGGACCGCGGGCCGCAGCGAACTGACTCTCGGGCGGCGCGGGCCGGAGAAGGGGGCGGGGCCGGAAATCAGCTGTGAGTCACGTGCCCCGAGCGCACGGTCTGTTTGGATACATTCCTGGCGTCTCTTAAAGAGGCCGCGCGGCGCGTTTCTATCGCTGCCCCAACAAATGATGTGTTGGTCCCTCAAGGGTGTCGATTGTCCTCGCGTTTGGCCCAGATGCATCTCTAGATCACACACGGACCCATCTGAAAAACACGTAACGACCTGTGGGGCAATTCTGATCCTCCCCAAGACAGTCATCGAATAGTAGGCACTGGCCTCAACTGGCAAGCCTGAGGCATAGATAACTCCGTTTTACATCAAAAGGCAACCTAATCTCAGCTGGAACCCTGAGGGGACTGGCGCTGCACAGCCCGTCTACCCGGGGCAGTTGAAGCTGCTGTTGCAAGATTACCTCCAGGCGTGTTTGGGACTGGGTAAAAAAAGGCACCCCTCCCAAAGAAAGACAGAAATGTGAGGTCCCTGAGGAGCTAGCTCCCCAATAATCAGTGTCTCCCTAGAAGCCATAATATTTGGAACTACTCTTCAGCAAATAGTATTTGGAAAGTCTGCCATGGATGTTCACAGAATTACAATCTATTAAGGTGCAAATTTGACGACCACATCTATGAAACCACCATACAGATGGACATACAGAAAGCTCGGGTGTACCTCAGTGGGAGAGTACTTGAAGGTTGTGAGTTCAAGCTGGTACAAAGTGTGTGTGTGGTGGTGGGGACAAGGAAGTACTTAACAGCCAAATGGAGGGCTTCATGGATCCCCTACCAATTGGTGCCTTGCTGCTCCCCGACTTTTAGCACTATTGACTTGTCAGCTTTTCCCGAGAACACCCTGTAAAATGGAACTACAACATTTAGTATCTAGTTTCTTTCTTTTGAGACTAGATTTCTCTGTGTAGCCCTGACTGTCCTAGAAATTACTCTGTAGATCAGGCTGGCCTTGAACTCAGAGATCCACCTGCCTCTGCCTCCTGAATGCTGGGATTAAAGGTGTGTGCCTCCACCCCCTAATTTAGTAATTAGTTTCTAGGCATCACCTGTGATCAGCCGTGCTGTTGCTGCTATCGTGTTCATCACTGTGTCAGGTATTCCATGGTGAGCATGTACCAGTTTATCCTTCACATGTTAATGGGTTGTTGTGTTGTTTTGCTTTGGGGTTGCTATGAGTAACATGTTTTGGATGTCCTCTGGCCAGCATTTCCCTGGGGTTATTCCCAGGAATGTATTGCTGAGTTTTATATCTGGTGTATGTTTAGTTTTGTGAAAAACTGCAAGACCCTTTTCTAAATGTATAACTTTATATTGCTAAAAACTTTACATTTGTCATTAGTGGCAGTAATTGGCTCTTGAACCTTTTCCCAGGCTGCCATTTGCATATCCATTTGATGAACACTTTTGTCTGGTTTTGTGCCCACTAAATTTTCATTTTGATTTCTTCTGATTCTTCTTGTTTGGTTAGAGATCAGATATACTATTGAGAGTATCTTTTCTGAGCAAATTATTTCCTTTTCTTAACAAGTGTGTGTTGTATCGAAGCATTTGTAAACAAAAGAGGGCTCAGGTGATCATTATATTCAAAGTGACAGAAAGGGATCCTGTGATCAGAGAGGGCTGTGAGCTTGGCAGTCAGAGCTGGAGGCAACCATGAACTAGGAAGATAAGCCGTGTGAGTCTCAGGTGACTTCACTCCCCAAGAATGTAATGGAGATGGCCAGAGTATGTTCCTGGACAGTGTCTGAACAGGCCACTCATCTGCACACCACTGGGCCTTTGCATGACTACCCAGCACCACTTCCTGGAGGAGCCAGCATCTGCATTTATGCCTCCTGACAAGATCTCTGACTTGCCAGTCTGGACCAGGGGAGAGTGTGGCCTGATAAGCACATGACAAGCTCTTTTCTCTTTGACTCTTTCTTCCCTGCTCGTGTCTCTTTTCATTGCTGGGGTCTGTAAGCCCTGCAGGGGTCCCTTTTGGAAGCCAGGCACAGTGTTGGCCTATACTCCTAGCACTTGGGAGGTGGAGGTAGGACTTCAAGGCAGTTCTCAGCTACATCCTCAGCTTGAGCTATATGCAATCCTGTCTACCCAAACCAAATAAGTCCTTTTTGGAAAATAAAAGAATAAAATGAGCAGTGAATGTTTGCTGGAGTCACTGAATGACTCAGCGCTGGAAGCTTCCCACGGCCGTGCCTGCTTGGGTTTCATGAGGAGGGGTGTGGATCTGATTTATTTGGGTGCTCTCTAATCTACCACACAAGTGCTATCTCCTGTGGAGTGGACACTGTTATGAGCTCACAAATGAGCAAAGCAGACAAAGCCCCGTATCCTTGCAGCATAGCTCCACAGGAGTGCACTGAAATCAAAGCAGGCAAGAGTAGGCTGATGGAGCAAACGCTTCCCATCCAGCTGTTTCTGGGTCAGTGCGCTCTTGCAGGCAGTTTGGCTTCAGGCAGGGTGGAGGCTTTTCAAGAAAGACTTGAAGGAAGTAAAGGGATAAGTTGGGTGGGAGGGAGAGGGAACAGTAGTCTAGGCAGTGAGAGGAGCTAAAGCAGTGGGTTAAGTTAAAGAGTACTAGCGGGGCTGGGTGGTGCTGGCTCACACCTTAATCCCAGGACTCAGGGGACAGAGGTAGGTGGAGCTGTGTGAATTCGATCCAGTCTGGTCTACAGAGCAAGTTCCAGGACAGCCGAAGCTACACTGAGAAACCCTGTCTCAACAAACAAACAAACAGCAATGATGGGAAGCTCCTGACTGCCATAGGGTTAGTACAGCAAGGGCCTCTGACATGGAGCTGGGAAAAAACCCAGGGAGATGGGGTGACGGTAGGGGTAGGGGAAGGCTAGGGCATGATTTTATTTGTTTTGAAATTTTCCCAAACACATTTGTAGATAGAATAGTAAAATACAGTCCTACATATCTGCCCAACTACTATTTGTTTGTCTTAATTTATCATAATTTAAAGGGAGTTTACATTCAGTAAGAACCCTTCTCTGAGCAGGCATTCTACAAGGCACCGAGTGGCCACCACCAATCAGTCCAAAACAGTGTCCAGTCTTGACACTTGGTTCAGCTCCTCACCCATTAATATGACCAGTTTTCCGTCCTTGTCCTTTTGCCTCTGCTAGAGTGCCCCACACCAGGAACAGACCTTTTGGCCTGTCCCCTCTCATTCTGATGTCCCTGCAATTGACTGGTATACTGCGCCACTCAGCACCCCGTCCCTTCACTGCTATATGAGATCTGAGAAATGGTGTTACATGCCCTTTAGCCAACTGCATGAGGGTGGCCCAGAAATTAAAGAAGGGTTAGGGACTCTGCACTGGTCCCAAGGACAGTGACAACACTGCCATTGTCCACAGTCGCAAGCTCTTCCATCTTAGTGACAGGAAAGAAAGTTCTAGCCTCCACTTCCAGCTGTTCTGTTACCATGACTAGGAGGTCTCCAGGAGCACCCTGAACATTACGGACACTTTGTCTCTTTGCTGTGGTTCTGTAACCAGCCTGGGAAGAAATGAAACAGTGAACCCTAAGGAAGTAGGAATTCCCCCTGGGAATCTCCTGCTGGGAGAACTTGTCTTCCCTGGAAGATTTCACATAGGTACCAAGGGTCCAGAGCACCTTACAGGATGAGACTGAAGTCCTGACAGGGACGGGTCAACAGTGAGCAGGACCACTCATTGACTGGCACTGCTCTGGCTCTCAATTTCAACTTCGCTCTCACTTCAGAATTCCAAAAAACGTGGGGGTTGGATGGAAATCTTTGTTTCTCTTTCCAATGTGGCCATATTAGTTGCTTTTTTTTTTTTTTTTTTTTTTTTTTTGGTGTTTGTTTTTCAAAACAAGGTTTCTCTGTGTAATCTCCTTGGCTGTCCTGGAACTCTCTCTATAGACCAGGTTGGCCTTGAACTCACAGAGATCTGTTTGACTCTGCCTTCTGAGTGCTAGGATTAAAGGCATGTACCACTACTAATAGGCCATGGCCATATTAAATAAGTCTGTTCTTTTCCTTCATTTGAGCTAAGGAACATAAACTTGTCTGGTGTCCAGGCATCTTGATGTTGGAGACCAAGGCCTGACCAAGCCTGGCTCAACTGTCACTGGCCTCCTATGTGGCCTCACGCCAGTCACAGGCTGTCTCTGGGTCTCATTATCCCTCCACCAGGCTCCTGCAGAGCTGGCTCTCTCTGTTCTCAGCTCTTGTCCTGGAGCTCTCCCACACCCTCTCTCCTCCTAGAGCACACACCTTGGCTGGGCCTGAGTGACGTGGCCATGGGTGGGATGGCATAGGCCTGACTGTTCAGCAGCTCAACATTTTTCCAGTGAGCCCCTCACTCCCACTGCACCTCTTAATTCTATAACTATTTTTCTTTTTGATGAGAAGCATGTGGGATGCTCATTTTAAAGCTCAGGAGAAAGAGCAGGAAAATACTAAGATAAAAGCCCCTCTTAAATTCACTAGCAGCCTAACCTTCCACCCATTGTTTCACTCACCTACCCACCCCACCACCCACTTGTGCTTTCTGAGCTGCAACTGCGTGTAATGGACTGGGGATGCGGTCAAAAATGAGGCAAAGTGCTTGCTCACGCAGAGACTTTGTCACAGTTTTTTTCAAAAATGAAATCAAGTCATATTTTCTGTTTTTGTTGTTTTGGCTTGGTTGTTGAGACAAGGTCTCTATAAGACCCAGGCTGACCTTGAAGTTGCAACTTTGCCTCTCAGCCTTTTGAGTGCTTAGATCATAGGCATGAGCTACCATGCCTGGCTCATATTTGCTGTTTTACACCCTGCTTTATATTCCATTTAACAATATACTGTGAACATTTAACTGTATGTATGTATGATGTGGTTTCTCTATTCAGCTCTGGCTGTCCTGGAACTTGCTTTGTAGACCAGGTTGACCTTGAACTCACAGAGTCTCCCAGGTGCTGGGGTCAAAGGCATGTACCACCACATCCAGCTTTCAATACCATTTTATTGAGGTCATTGCTGTAGTTTAGATCTGAAGTGACCCCTCCAAGGCCCACAGGTTGGAAGTCATTTACCAGCAGCTTGACACCATTGGGAGTTGGTGAACCTTTCAGGAGGTAGGGCCTATTAA